TAGTGTCCGCCGTAGATGCTGACTTATTTGTCGGAATAAAATGCGCCATCTTACTAAGCGAGTCGACGATCACAAGAATAGAATCGTGTCCCTGGGGGGAGATCGGGAGGTCAGTGATAAAATCTAGGCTAACATGGCTCCAGCGTCGAGAAGGGATGAGGAGCGGTTGTAGTAGACCCGCTGGCTTGAGTGAGATTGACTTCGAAGCTCTGCACTGCACACACGATTCTACATACGCGGTTGTATATGCTTTCATCCCGGGCCAGTAGTAAAATTTGCTGAGAGAGAGAAAAGTCTTGCGCACGCCCCGATGACCTGCAGTAACATGGTCGTGATGACAGTACAGAATATAGGAAAGAAACTCTGGCAAGGTGGGCGGACAAATACGCCATAGGCCATGAATACGCACGTAAAGGTATGGATGCCTAAATTGAAACGTGTAACGACGGCCCTGCAGACAATGCACAAACTCTGTGTCACCGTTGCGCGCGGCTGCCGCCACGATATCCCGAAAGAATGAGCAACGCTCATAAGCATCCCTCCAACGCTGGGGGGATAGATGCTCAGGAGTCGTAGGAGCTTCGGCCATAATCTCTGCAGTCGTGAGCGAATGATGCTGTTCGTCGCTTGAGGCGATCGATGTGGTTGAAATGTCCGTTATTGAGCGATCCGAATTAGGAATTTCGTGCTCCGACCGTTTGGCGTTCGCACCGCCCGAGCCCGTTGCCTGCTGCAACTCATTCGCATCAGCCGATCCCGCTCCCAGGTGCGACTCGTTTGCACCAGCCGATATCGCTGGCTGATGCGATTCGTTCGTGCCAGCCGATCCCGCTGCCTGTTGTGCCTCCGATCCAGTTTTCCGTTGTTGCCTCGTGGGCCGACGTTGCCCTATCATCGCGCGAAAGTCCGGATGTGGCGCCGACCCCGTGGCGAGCCGAGTCGAGTAATGAGGCTGTGCTGCTAGGGTCCCTTGCTGTTGAACCATTGAAGCGAGTATATTTTCTACTCTGTTAGGTTCTCCACTACCGTGCCGAGGGTGT